CCAATGCAGAAAAAGACAATGCGGCCCAACTAGTTATGGAGAAGCCTTTAAATTAAACAGACCAAATAATGCAAGTGTTATATTTTTGGCAATCAAATACCAAGAAGTTATTATAAGGTAGTATGAAATAATTTACTGGACAAAAAGCATCTTTAAAAATATATTTCTATTGATTTCAGAGAGGAAGGGAGAGGGAGAGAGAAATAGAAACATCAAAATAATAAGAGAGAATCATTGATTGGATCAGCTGCCTCCTGCACTGACCTGGAATCCAACCATGACCTCCTGGTTCATAGGTTAACCCTCAACCAGTAAACCACTCCGCCCAGGCCAAAAAGCATTTTGAATGTATAGGAAGCAAGATCAGTCTGTAATTCATTACAATCCAATTATAATATCCCAGTAAGTTCTTTGGTGGAGACTGACAAGCTAATTGTAAAATATATGGCAAATGTATGAAAAGATATATATTGAACTTTGAAAGGGTCAAGAATAGCCGATGCAACCTTGAAGAAGATGAGTAAAGTTGAAGGATGTATCATTTAGAGTGAGACTTACAACGCTATAGTGTTTATGGGCGTGTGGTATTGGCACAGCCAGCCAGCCAAAGGGTCCATGGAACAGAATTGGAAGGCAGAAGCACACTCACATCTACACAGACACTTGGCTTATGTCAAAAATTAGACTGCAAAGCACTGAGTAAAAAATCATTTTTAATAAATAATGCAGGGTTAGTTGGCTATGCAGATAAAAAATTGTTGACCCCCCTACCTACATTGGACACAAAAATTAAGTTCAGGTGGATTGTAGATCTAAATGTGAAGGGAAAATAAAACGTTTTCCAACAGTGCTTCTCAAACTATCTGTAGTAAATAACCTTTAAAAAATTTTATTTAAACTTTCTAGCCCATCACAAACCATTATTTTTGTAACATAAAATAAAATAAAATAAAATACCTCTTGGATATCAGGTCAATGTCAGGTTGCTATAAAGTTTCCCAACATTTACCTATTTTATCATCACCTGGTCATGAACTGGTGACAAACATTTTGCAGACTAATGCCATTTTTTTTTTCGACCACACTTTGAATAGCATTCTTCTAGAAGAAACGTGAGAATATGTTCATGACCTTGTGGTAGGCAAAGATCTCTTAAATAGGACACCAAAAGCCCTAACATTTTGTTGTTGTTGTTAATCCTCTCCTGAGGATATTTTTCCATTGATTTTTAGAGACAGTGGCAGAGAGAGGGAAAGACAGCGAGAAACATCAATGTGAGAGAAACACATCGATTGGTTGCCTCCTGCACAAGCACTGACCAAGGCATGGGCCAAAGAGGAGCCCGCAACCAAGGTACGTGCCCTTGAGCAGCCCTAACATTTTGTTGTTGTTGTTAATCCTCTCCTGAGGATATTTTTCCATTGATTTTTAGAGACAGTGGCAGAGAGAGGGAAAGACAGCGAGAAACATCAATGTGAGAGAAACACATCGATTGGTTGCCTCCTGCACAAGCACTGACCAAGGCATGGGCCAAAGAGGAGCCCGCAACCAAGGTACATGCCCTTGATCATTATCGAACCCGGGACCCTTTGGTCCGCAGGCCGACACTTTATCCACTGAGCCTAACCGCTAGGGCACCTAACTTTTTTAATAGAGGAAAATGCTGGTACATCAAACTACCAAAAGGGACCATTAAGCAAGTGTTTTCCCATTAAGGGACACCCAGATTACAACATGGAGGCAGATATTTGCAATACGCAGAACCAAAAGAGACACAGGCCCTCTTATCCGCAGTAAATAAACAACTCCACACCTCCGCAAGAAAAGGGCAGGATCCACTAGAAAATGGGCAGGAGGTTTTTAGCGGGCGGTCACCAAAGAGGATGTTCAGGTGGCCACAAACATAGGAAAAGCATTTGATCTCATTAGTCATCAGGGAGGTGCAGATTAAAGGACAATGAGATCACCTCTGTGAACTCACTAGAAAGGCTGACATGGAAAAGATCCACAAACCACGTGACCGTGGAATACGCTACAGCGATGAAGATGATCAGCTCTTTCTACATGAGGCAGCACCAGAGACTTTCACAGTCCCAACAGGGAGTGGAAGAAGCCAGACACGAAGCAGTCCATCAGGGGTGATTCCACTATCCAGAGCCCACACAGGCAAAGATAACCCGGATGTTTACCAGCCAACACCCTGGCTGGCGATCCTTGGGAAGGAGGGAGAGACTGTGACAGGGAGCAGGGTCAGGGGGCGTATAGTCCTGGGCGTGTTCTCCTTCTTGATCAGGGGGGTGGGAGCATGGGTGTGTGCAGCTGGTGAGACTTCACAGAGCTGTGCATTTAGTGTGTGCACTTTCTAGGTGTATCTACTAATGTCAGTGTCATCGCTAAAAATCCAGTTAAACCTGATGACACTTGATATTGGGGAGAGAGAAGTTGTGCTTATTTGTTTTGTTAATATTTGTTGAGAGCTACAGAAGGCACCGTGCTCACAGGGAAGCCTGCAGTCCTGTGAAGAGATGGGAATTAGGCACCTGGGGGACACTGGGAACTATGAAACACTGGCAAATGCAAAGCCCCTTCTGCAGTAAGGCCTGTTTTCTAACACACATTTAATCCCAAGTAAGACTCCCTCCTGCCATGAGTACAGCTACACAGCAAGTCATAAAGCATGAAGAATGGAAAATAAAAACCATGTATAATTGTGATTGACGTTAACCGGGAAAAGAGGGTGCTTGCTACTTTACAGAAATTGCTGAGCATGGATGGACCTGGAGAGCATTATGCTAAGTGAAATAATCGAGGAAGACAAATACCGTATGGTTTCACTTATATGTGGAATCTAATGATCTAATGGACAAAATAAAATAACAAAATAGAAACAGACTCATAGATACAGAGAACAGACTGACCGCTGTCAGAGGGGAAACCATTGGGGGGCTAGGTGAAAAAGTTAAAGGGATTAAGCAAAAAACAGCCCTAGCGGGTTTGGCTCAGTGGATAGAGTGTCAGCCTGTGGACTAAAGAGTCCCAGGTTCGATTAGGGGGGATCAGAGGTCGGGTAGGAGAGGGTAAAGGGAGCATAAAGGTGGCAGAAAGAGACTTGACTTGGGATGGTGAACACATAATACAATATACAGATGACATATTATAGAATTGTACCCCTAAAACCTGCATAATCTTATTAACCAATGTCACCCCAATAAATTCAATAAGTAAATAAGTAAATAGATTGCCGAGGGTCCTAAAGTCACTAATATGAAGGCAAGAATATAGGAGCTGGGAGGGAGTGTAGTACAAGAGGCAGGCAGGGGTAAGGCCAGACAAGCATGTGGGAAGGAGCTTGGCTTTTACTTTACAGGTGATAAGCCACTAAGTATCTTAAAGCAGGTGAGTGAGAGGGTCTGATTTACCTTTTTAAAAGCTCGCTCTAATCACTTGGTGAAGAGGGGATTATGGTGATTATCAGAGGGAAAAGGAGGATCAGAGATCAGGTAGGAGAGGGTAAAGGGAGCATAAAGGTGGCAGAAAGAGACCTGACTTGGGATGGTGAACACATAATACAGTATACAGATGACATATTATAGAATTGTACCCCTAAAACCTGTATAATCTTATTAACCAATGTCACTCCAATAAATTCAATAAGTAAATAGATTGCCGAGGGTCCTGGAGTCATTAATATGAAGGCAAGAATATAGGAGCTGGGAGAGAGTGTAGTACAAGAGGCAGGCAGGGGTAAGGCCAGACAAGCATGTGGGAAGGAGCTTGGCTTTTACTTTACAGGTGATAAGCCACTAAGTATCTTAAAGCAGGTGAGTGAGAGGGTCTGATTTACCTTTTTAAAAGCTCGCTCTAGTCACTTGGTGAAGAGGGGATTGGAGAGACGAGAATGTGAGCAGGTAGCCCCAAAACTAGGCTCTGACTGAAGGTGGAGCGGAGGAGATACACAGACACACAAGCAAGCATTTGGATTTGGTGTGGGATTAGATTGAGCCACTGAGGTAGAGAAAGTGTGAGGAATGGCCCCTGGGTCTGGAGGTGGAGCTATGCCCAGAAGGATGGCTCCTTTACTCAGGTGGAGAAGGAGGGGAGGAAGCAGGCTCCACACGTCATAGGATGGAGATACCCATGAGATGTGTAAGTTGAATATAGGAGCCTGTTGTTAGGATGATGTCTGGGTTAGGGATGCACCGTTGGAGGCGTTCAGCATTGGAAACCATTGAGAGCCTTGGGAATGGGCCTCACCTGGGACAGATACAGAGCGAGGAAAGCGGGGCTGGAAATCAGCCCTGTGAAAGGCAGATGTTAGCTTGGGAAGCGAAGGAGAAAAATGAGAGGGTGATGACATGCGAGCAGGTGACAGGTTGCTCCCATCTTGAATAATGTGAGTTTGGGACTAAACCGCATGGCTGTCTCAAACCTGGGGAACTTGGGAGTGGGAATGGGAAAAACCGTGTGGAGGAAGAAAGTGATGAATTTTATATTCAACATAGAATTGTAGATGCGAGCATGAATTGAGCATGCCCCGCCCCCTAGATCAGTGATGGCGAACCTTTTGAGCTCGGCCTGTCAGCATTTTGAAAAACCCTACCTTAACTCTGGTGCCGTGTCACATATAGAAATTTTTTGATATTTGCAACCATAGTAAAACAAAGATTTATATTTTTGAAATTTATTTTATATATTTAAATGCCATTTAACAAAGAAAAATCAACCAAAAAATGAGTTCGTGTGTCACCTCTGACACGCGTGTCAGGTTCTCCATCACTGCCCTAGATTATAGATGAGCCTATTGAAAACCAGAAAGATTCATGAACTTGTTCAAATTCATTTAATTTAATGACACACATGGCTTTGAAATCAGAACTTTTCTGACAGGGCTTTGGAACTTGTGTTCGTAGGCCCCCTATCTGCTGGTTAAATGGCTTTGAGTGAAATATATCCACTCGTCTCAACTGATGGGAGACTGAGCTGGTGACAGGATTTCTGGACTTGAGTGTGATTCCCATCTTTCCCACAGGCACTGATGGATGAGATCCTCATGCTCCAAGATGAGATCAGCGAGCTGCAGGCATCCCTCGCAGAGGAGCTGGTGTCGGAGTCCCCGGAGTCTGACCCCGGGGAGCAACTGGCCTTGCAGTCCACGCTCACCGTCTTGGCGGAGCGCATGTCTACCATCAAGATGAAGGCGTCAGGGAAACGACAGCTTTTGGAGGTAACGTAACTCGGAAGCCCCACATGTCCATGTCCTTTAGAGTTGTGTTGACAAGTGTCTGGCTTACTTTGTGATGTACAGTTTTTCTTTTAAAAAATTATATATTTCTATTTATTTCAGAGAGGACAGAAGAGGGAGAGAGAGAGAATTATTGATTGGCTGCCTCCTGCATGTCCCCTACTGGGAATCGGGCCAAAACCCTGATTGGGAATAAAACCATGATCTCCTGGTTCATAGGTCAATGCTCAACCACTGAGCTACAGGGGCTGGGTATGATGTACAGTTTCATTGTTCCTCACACATGAGGAGCTGGTACTATGTCTCAGGGAGGATCTCATCAATGGAGCACTGAGTCAGTGTGTAGCCAGAAATGCATCTTCTCACCCTTTTTTGCCTCATTTCAGCATGAAAAGTTGAGAATGTAGAAAGCAAATAGTTGGTAGACATGGGCCTTATGAAGAATAATTATGGAAGGTTTGCACAGTGGTTTGCTATCCTAGATAACAAAAGCCTAATATGCAAATCGACCAAACGGTGGAATGACCAGCGGAACAACCAGGGGAACAACCGGTTGCTATGATGAACACTGACCACCAGGGGGCAGACGCTCAATGCAGGAGCTGCCCCCAGCCCACAGGCCCCAGGCCAGCCAAGGCAGGTGCCAGTGGGGGCCCCCCAATCACCCCTCCGATTGCCTCACAGATCAGCCATGATCACCAGCCAGGCCTAGGGACCCTACTTGTGCACTAATTTTGTAGACCGGGTCTCTAGGGTTTAAATAAGAGTATGTTATGAATACTATTACTAATGCTGTGAAGAATAAATCTTTAGTCAGTGTTAGCCAATTCAAGCACACTGATTCATCAAAGTTTATTTTTACTTTATTCTCTCTTATCATTTCTGGCCCTAAATATATAGGTCATTAGACCTGAGACTCCACAAAATCCTTTAGAGCAGCGGTTCTCAACCTGTGGGTCGCGACCCCTTTGGGGCTCGAACGACCCTTCCACAGGGGTCACCTACGACCATTGGAAAACACATATATAATTACATATTGTTTTTGTGATTAATCACTATGCTTTAATTATGTTTAATTTGTAACAATGAAATTGGGGGTCACCACAACATGAGGAACTGTATCAAAGGGTCGCGGCATTAGGAAGGTTGAGAACCACTGCTTTAGAGCATCTGTCTCCTTGTACCTCTGGGATATAATCAGTTCTCAATACATTTCTTATTACATGAACTTAATATTATTTTATTTGGCTGATGATTATATTATTATTCAATTAAACATGGTCCTATTGTTGGCTGTGTAGGCTCCTTCTAGTTTTACCTGTTATAAGATTAGTCAGATAATATATTCATGTACTTCTTGTTAGGAATAAATTTAAAATCAATGTGTCTGCTTTATTTAAAGTTTATGTTAAACTATTTTTCATGTAATTTAAAAATAACGTTATTGATAAAGTAATTTTAAAATAAGGTATTTAGAGTACTTTATTTTAAGAATTAACTTTTTAATGTACTAATATTATCCCCAGTCATTCTATGAAACATTTGTGGAGTTTCAAAATTAAAATTAAGTGATTGGCTTGGTGTGTGTTTTTTTAATATGAATTATTTGCCATCATTGAATAAAACCACACAGAGATTTAACAATAACAACACCAAAAAGAATTTCTTCTTTCATTCAAGAAACTAGTAACACTGGGCCACTTCTTCTTACAGGGAATCAATTGCCTGAAATTCATGATGCTTTCTTTGTAGGTGGACCATATGTTCTTCAGTTTGTCACAGTCCCCACTGCTCCCTACAGCTTCCCCACGTTGGGGTCATGTACCTATTTCCAACCCACCATCTTATGTCATTGTTTTGTTCTAATCCTTGATCAATTTTCGTCATTCACATTATCTACCTGGTCCTGCGTTATGTAAGAATACTTAAACTCTAGGTGTACATTAGAATCAAAGGGAAAGATTTTTAAAAACATGAATCTTGAGACTCAACTCCAGAAATTCTGATTTATTGCTCTGGTATGTGGCCAAGGATAGTTTTTTTGTGTATGTTTTGTTTTGTTTTTGTCTTGCTTTGAAGTTTCACAGTTGATTCTGGTGTGCAGCCAGAGATGAGATCATTGTTCTTGTGTTGAATCCTAATGATTTCACCTTCGTGCGATCTATGTGACATTCTGCTTAATTCATTAGGAGAAGTTAAATGATCAGCTGGAGGAACAGAGGCAGGAACAGGCCCTGCAGAGGTACCGCTCTGAAGTCGACAAGCTGGACCACTGGCTCTTAAGCACTAAGGCCACTCTGGACGTCGCGCTGGGCACCTCCACGGAGCCCATGGACATGGAGGCCCAGCTGGTGGACTGCCAGGTTCGGAAATGATCTTGAAGGAACATGTCAACATCACAAAGCATATTTTCAAATGTGAAAACATAATGGTAAAAAGCTTGATACGGATATACGATTTTTTTCCAAGCCATATACTTCACATATTTAGAGAGCAGGCAAACGATACCTTATAAAAGCTTAAATGAAATTCAGACTTCAACTCAGTCTTTTGAAAAATTTTACCAGTAAGTTCCCAATTTTAGAAAATCTTCAATTTCCTAAAGGAAATTGTTAAAAGATCATAGATACCAAAACACTTAGAGTGCCTGTATTTGGTGCTAATAAGACATTCAGAGCCAATGAGGAGAATTGGTGTCAGTGCATCAGACTGTGGATGAATACAGCAGGAGGTGTCCCTAGGTGCTCTGTTGCAATGTTTGTTCTAATTCTGATATTTAATTTTTACAAACTTGGTCAAACTGTCAGTTTGAGGCAGACAGACTGAACACAAGAAGGTGTCTTTTGGAGCAGAGAATATCTTTTCTCTGATGTGAGGTCCCTAGGAATTAAGGTAGATGCAATGACATTAAGGTTTTCATTACGTTATTACTAGAGGCCCGATGCACAAAATTCGTGCAAGGGGCTCGGCCCTCGCAGCCGCAGTGGCTTTCCTCGGCCCTTGCAGCCCCGGTGTCATCTGGAAGGTCATCTGGAAGGATATCCAGAATGACATCTGGAAGGTCGTTCAGCTGTCTGGCCTAATTAGCATATTATGCTTTTATTATTATAGATTGTCTTACCTCTATGTCATGAAAAATTTCAAGCACACACGTAAGTATAGAGAACAGATAATGAACTCCCTGTGCCAATCATTGAATTTCAAAAATTATCCACATATTGTACTTCACACATGGGTGACGTATGTTTTAAAAGCTCTTTCATTTAACTAACTAGCAAGTTTCTAGAAAATCCTACCTAATCTGCAAGGTTAAATATCAGTAAGCATGACTTCATATTTATCCCGTTTGACATCAGAGGAAATACACAAAAGGTGGGGAATGATACATACTTATGTACAAACCGTTCATTGATGAACATTGTCTTTTTAAAATAGGTAGTATTCCATTTTGGCCATCCCTTTTATGATTCGATATTTATTGTAGTATTGACTGTTATAATTTGAATTTTTTAATTCCTTGGGCAGTTTACCTGTGTGTATTGAAGGCGTTGTTCTTCTCTGCTTTGATGCTAAACAATAGAGAACTACATGCCAGTGTTTTCTAGTCTTCAGACCATCTTTTTTTAAAGTTTCTTTCTGAAGAGACATCTATTTTTTG